CTGAGCCCTATCACGAAATGCTATGTTTGTCAGCTGCGGCGTCGGTAGCGCATTGAGTAGTGGCAATCGTCGAAACACGAAAAAATTTTTTTTCTGTCTACTTCTCCCGACCTACTCCCGATTAGTCACTAATTTAACTACAGTTAATACTCTAATCTAGAGCTAGCATAAGATTCTGTACAAAGATATCGTCATTCAGTCACAAAGTGATGGACTATATTTCGACTGATCACATTATATGAAAAAAAAAATATACGCTCATCTGACGTATATCACTTTACAAAGTCGACGGTTTCCTTTCTACAAAAGATTATGCGAACTATAAAGTAGATGAGTCTCCCACCAGGAGTCAATGGCAAAACAAAATACACTTTATTAGATGTTCGCACGGCTACCACCGCTCAACCCACCACTGGTAACATAGCTGACGCTCATGAAGCTTCATGACACAACTCCTAGAAGCATCCCACAAGTTATCGACTGAGAGAAAATAGGTAATAAAAATTAGTGCCTGGCAATATGAATATATTGTGGTGTGATATGGTATTCCTGCGCCCGACGTACAGTTGCACGCAATTTAAAGTTGGGAATTGTGACAAAAATATGAATAACTAGCTACTTCCGCGCGGTTTCACACGCTCTGCTCGGCTCCTATTGGTCGTAGCGTGATGTTTTATAGCGTATAGCCATCCTCGATAAATGCACTATCCAACACAAAAAGAATTATTCAAATCAGACTTGTAGTTACGGAGATTAGATTAGTTATTCAAACAAACAAACAAACAAACTCTTCCGCTTTATATAATAGTATATAAGATAATGGTATAAGATATAAGATTTGAATAAAAAAAACCAAAGTAAAATGTTTGACTTCAGCTCCTTTCAACGCTCATAACTCAGTCCAGACTGAGATTTCCATACATGAGCCCTATGGGCTCACTTTCATATATGTATATGGGGACAATTTCGTTTGTGATATCATTCCAGACAATATCTTCCATAAATCATCGACTGACGCCAGAAAAAAGAAAGGCACCAAATTTAGTCAATGCCCAAATGAGAACCAATAGCAAACCAAGGGCCCCTAGACAGAATTTGCTACAGGCCCCGCGCTGGCTTAATCCGGCACTGCGAATAACGAATATCCCCTAACTTAAGTTTACTTCGTAGTATACTTAAGTTAGGGGATAGTTTAGATGCTCCTTCAAGTTGCGTAACTCATACTTAAGAGATGATTCAGAACAGGAATGATTGGTAAAAAGGCCGTAATTCGTTTTGTCTAAATATTTATAGATCTTTTATACGACGAAGCAAATACCTAACTAAAAAGAATCGTGTCTAATATTTTTTATTACATTTCTAACTGTTGGACTAAAGACGAAATTTCCATGCGCTGTCGTCATCCCCATTATGATATTGACTCTGATTAGGCAAGGTATCTGATGGATGTCAGTGGATGGAAGGGTGATTTCTGATAACAGTATACCCCGCCGCGTCAGGAGTAGTGAAGTGGTTGAATGGCCGTTATCTGACTCGAACCTGGCTGATTAACACGTTTTATAGTAATTGAAGATTGTCTGTGATGTTATCTGATTTACTTACTTTCATCATGGTATCGTCCCTTAAGTTAATTGTTTAAGTGGTTTGCAGAGCATCCACGTACAATTTAAAAATGTTCCACATCAATTTCCACCGAATGAATTTTCCTAAGGCTTAAAAAACAGATCAGTCTGTATGAGTCCAAACCAACTAAGTACACACATATACACATAACATCAAGCCTTTTATCCCCGAAGGGGAAAGCAGAGGTGCACATTACGGCACTTAATGTCATTGTAGGTACAATGTAGCACCCACTTTTCTCATTTTTATTTTATAAGTCCCATGTAATAGGGGTTGAGCCTATTACCATATACCGGGCACATTTCCAGGCTCCGTGCTACCACTAAGATTTTTTTTACAACCCAGTATTACTTTGCCCGACTCTTAGAATCGAAGCCGAGACCCCTTGCCCAGCAGTCGCACTTGCGACCACTCGGCCAACGAGGTAGTCTTTTAACTACGAAACAACGAACTAAGTAGATTCTCTAATTCTCTATTTTAAAAATTGATCACATAGTATTGCGGTAAAAAAACGATAATCTTTATTTTCTATTTTTATTACCTATTTATAATAAAATTCAGATTATCATGTTAAACCTCCCATTGTAGTTCTTAAAAATACAAAGGTTAATAGTTTTTAAAATTAAAAATATTAGGTGAATAAATCTCAATTAGGTATTAAATAGTAAATTCGAATGTGTGATCTTATTATGCAAAAATAATGAAGTGTATGTGAAATACACATGTACACTTCCACATTTGTGATAATCCTACGTATTTGCATCTCAAAAGAAATATGAATAAATTAAATAATGAATGATGAGAACCAAGCTGACTTTGTTCTTCTTTATTTTTGCTACCAGCTTCGCACCGTCACTATAACCTAAGTTTTGTGCAGGATTTATTACACTCGTTGTCCATTGTTGTGTTTATTTTTAACAAACAAAAATTATTTAACTAGTTAAACATGGGTAAATCAGTCGTATCTACTGTATTTTTCTATTAAATAAATACTTATCGATCATTTTGTATAAAAATATTCAAATTGAACTTTATCTTGAGATTCTCATCAGAGGATCTGCTTTAAACGTTTTAAGAGACTAAAGAAAATATGAAGGTAACAATTGCCGTTCCATAGTTTCGGCCTACCTCTATGGAATATGTATAGATAAGTATACATAATTATACGTATACTTTGTATTAATATTGTTACCTTCATACATATGAATATAAAAATACAAATACATATTTTGAAGAGACTTTTTAAAGTACCTATTTTCATTTATAACGTTACAATTACAAAAATGATTGCAATCCTTTGTCAAGATACATAAACAAACTAAACAACTTGCACTACAAACTACAATAAATTCATTGTTTCACAACCAAAACAATTAAACTCAAACACAAAACAATCTCAAAAAATAAATAATCTTAACATTGAAAACAACCCACGGTACTTCAATCAACAATAACTTTAAAAATGTTTTATCCCGAGCTCGCGTAGTACGCGGTACAATATGGCGGCGGTACGTAACACGACCATAAACAATGCAATTCTTCAAATGCAGTACAGAACAATAGAGCACACACACAATATGCTCCGTGACTTACTGTGGGCAAACATCTCGTTACTATTCGTACTTTAAATACGAAGGTACTTCAGAAAGGAAATATAAGTTGTACTTCGTACACAATTAAAATATTAATTACGTACCTTAGTGTATATGAATGTTTTAAATGTCGTTTGTTTCAAGTTTTGATTATGATAATTATATCATAATATCGATTACTTTTAAGTATTAGACGAATCTATAGAAAATAGGTAGGATGCGCAAAGCCTGACATTTCTGGTCGTAGGAAACAGAGATTTCGTAAGTAGGTACTACAGTCCTTAAGATTTATTGAAATTCCATCGGGATAAGGAATAATCAAGATGTAGATAATATTGTAAATATACGAAGTCATATCCAAAGGCAACTATACTTACAGTACACTTTTACCGTCGGCGGCACAGACACGACGCTCGCCTATTCGATTTGTTAAGCCTTCGATAACTGCATAATGAATTAGGTACTAATGATGATAAATAAACGTGATGAAATAGATTTAACATACCTACGTACTTACCTATTGTCGCGGAGAACCTAACGGGTAACCGGGGCTCCGGCTCGACGTGCAGGAGAAGGAACGGGGTGGTATTTAGTCAGTAAGAGCCTGACACTCCCTCCCGCCTCACCCAGGCGGGAGCAGTCATTCGATGATTTCCCCCCTTAAGAAAAATACCTACTAAGTTTTGATGGATCTATTACATAATCGACTTTATTGGAAAATAAAGTCGTCAGTTTTTATGTAGGTACCGCTACAAATAAAAAAATGTACAAAATACTAGCTTCAGATATTTATGTTAAATAAAACATATCTTAAAACGTGATCGATCTCTGACATTCACACACCAATAACCCGCCCCCGCCGGCAATTAATTCTTTAAACAAACACTTCACCGCGGGGGTTCTTGCGACCGACAATTACGCGGGGTATTGCAGACCACACGAGCATATTCCGCGGGTTAGTCGTTCCAACTATTGTCCCACTAATTGCCGCGATATAGACTCAACCCTCCCGCACTACTTTGTTTTAGGGGCTCCTCCGACCCCTTGTTTTATATTTGTTTACCAAATGTACTTTAATTTATCGCTTCTACTTCAGTTTGTTATTGGAATGACAACATTAATCAGATCATGAAACGATTTCCTACTATTTCGATAAAGTAGGTATAAATCTGTACCGTAATAACTTACCGTAAATTACCTCTACTCACTCTTCTATGCAACCTCAAGATGGAGAGTAAGCACACAGAAATTGCCCAATAGCTAGTCCAGTATTTTACCTCATTCGACTCATTGTTACAAAATACAAGACGGCTATCAGACATTCACAAGTGTCAATATTATTTTTGGCTCATAAAAATAAAAAAGAGATTTCACAATATCGCGAGCGCTGCACAATCGCGCGACTGAGAAGCACTCGTCATTACAATTTGTATCGCGAGATGAGAGCGATTCCCACACAATGGCTGAAGGTTCTGGTTGAATACAGGCGGCGTCAGACACAGGCCCCGGCCCCCGTGCGACGCTTTCCAATTTACTTAAAACAAGCACAATGGTAGATGGCGCTTTGTCGCGACCGCGGTGCAGGCGTACTGACACACCCCCGCACAAATGTCTCAATGCGACAATCGTGCTCGATTTGTAGAATTGCCCCAAGGGTGACGTATTTTGTATACCAAACCTATGGGTTACGATCATATGATTGCTGTCGTAACGACTACGTTTCTAAAAACTTTGCTGATTAAACATATTCCGTATAATTAACGCGTATATTTGTCTTTGTTCCAGATATAACATACTTGTCTCCAAGCTACCAAGATGCAGCCGTTCCAATCAACTGCGCGGCCCGAGGGTCCCCGGGAGTCCTCTCCAGAACGAGCCAAGTCCCCGGACACGCCCACAGCACCCGTCCTAAACTTCTCCATAGCAAGACTCATGGAACCTGATAGAAAGAAGTCAGTATCCCCTGAAGCTCCTCCACCACCACCAGGATTCCTATCGTACGGAGCTCAACTTCTAGATTCAGCGTTTAAACAATATATTCCAGCGGCTAGAAGACAACTTGTATCGCACTATCCTTTACTGTACTACGGTCCCGACTTAGTCTCTCTCACATACGCCCACCAGCTGCAGCTGCCCCGACCACCTCCACCGACATCACCAGTCCAGCGTCCACCCAGCCCTCGTCCTCCCGCTGCAGACCACGCCGTGTCATCCACCACTGGCCCGACGCCTTCCCCTGCAAAAAACAAAAGCTTTGCTTGCGGAGACTGCGGCAAAGTATTCAACGCGCACTACAACCTCACTAGACACATGCCAGTACACACTGGTGCCAGACCATTTGTTTGTAAAATATGTGGCAAGGGGTTCCGACAGGCGTCCACGCTGTGCAGACACAAAATAATACACACCTCGGAGAAGCCACACAAGTGTCTGACTTGTGGCAAAGCATTCAATAGGTCGTCGACCTTGAACACTCACGCCAGGATCCACGCAGGGTACAAGCCCTTTGTCTGCGAATTCTGTGGCAAGGGGTTCCATCAAAAAGGCAACTACAAGAACCACAGACTGACCCACAGCGGGGAGAAGGCGTACAAGTGCAGCATCTGTAACAAGGCATTCCACCAGATCTACAATCTCACGTTCCACATGCACACACACAACGAACGGAAGCCGTTCACCTGCAGCATCTGTGCTAAAGGGTTCTGCAGGAACTTCGACTTGAAGAAGCATACGCGTAAATTGCACCTGGGTGCCGGCAGCTCTAATAACGGAGACTCCTCTCTGGACACGCAGGACGAGTCCACGCAGGAGGCTACCACCAGCCCCGTGGAAGACGCGAGCCGAGTCGCCTTCAGACCGTTTCTGGGTGCCTCGTACCCTCGCATTCTGGACCCATCCCGGATGACTGCGCCGAACACTTTCTTCTCCAAGCTATTGTGACCCGGAGCTGCATACTTCAATAGTTACGGAGACAACAAGGAGTGAATTGATGAAGGATTTGATTAGGCACACTACACGTGATCTTTGTGAATATGTAGAGTTATACTATCCAAGTTATATTATCTAGTTGTCGTGTTCAGCCGTCCTTTGGTTCGTGCCGCTCTCTGGCTCCAATTTATAGACAAGTTCTGTCGCTTCCCATTTCATCAATGTGTATTATATTTATGATTACATTCCTGAAAAAAGATATCATGATAATATTTAGGAAATACGGAATTTGTAATTTTAATAGGGAATTGTTGTGTAAATATTGATATTGTAAATAGATTCTGTGGAATATGATTTGTAGGTGATACATGTTTGTGGTCACTCTCATGAGTATTGGAGTATTACGAAAAAGGAATAATGAATTCTCTCTAATAATATATTTACTTGGAGAAAACAATTAGATATTAACAAAAATTGTCTTGAAATTATTCTGACATGTACTTACGTTATTTAAACTTCGGAATATTTAGGCATTAACATGACGATCGATAATAAAATTATTTAGGTATAATAATAAATGTATAGTCGATATATAAATATACGGAGTGATGATATATTAGCTGTAAATATTAGTGTTATGTAGCGAATCATAAAGTATAGACAATTTACCAAATGCAATATTGAGTGTAAACTGTAATTTAATAAATATATGCGCTGTGAAATATTACAAGGTGGTTTCATTTTAAATGAAGACAGTTTCATAATGTAATTAAATGTAATATTTTTCAATCTTGAAATCGAAGTATCTTGAATTACTATCTATCCAAAACTTAGCAAAATGATACAGTTTCATTTCTTATTTCATTTTAATATAACCAGGCTCAGCTCGGCTGACAATCAAGTAAAACTTTTCCCGTTACTGACACCGACGGCGATGGATAAAGCTGCGGAAATATCTAGAAGTTAAAAATGATCTGTCATGTGCAAATCGACCTTGTATAATTAGTGTACAACTAATTATTCTACTTTTGGTTATCACGCTCTGTTTGAACCTTCTATTATTATACCTGGACTCAATGAAACGGTCCTAGCACAGAGGTAATATTTTCCGAAATACATCATAGAGCTTAACACAGCTCAAAGTTATTCTACTCAATGAAAACGTGATATTATTATGACCCTTACTTAAAATTACTAAAAAAATTAGTAAAAAGAGTCTCACGTAGGAAGTACCAGCTGCCGCTTCAAGCCGCGGCTCGTGGGGTAAGCAGAGGTCTAACAATAGTGTTCAATCACAATGATTGTAAGTGAACAGTTGAAGGCGGGCCCCGCGCACTACAAGCCAAATTACAGACCTTGGACTGCGACACAGGTTCTCAAACTTGAGGCCAAGTGGCGGACAACAACTGGTAAAACCTAGTTAACCGAATTGTTGCCTCATTGGCCGAATGTTCGCAAGTACGACTACCGAGCAAGGGGTCTTCGGGTTCGATTCCCGGGTCGGGTAACGTATCACTGGTTTTTTTTAAAATCTCACGTAATATGGAATTGTGCCCAGTATATGGCAATAGGCTCACTAACGGCTTTGTAACGAGATCTGAAGAAAAACAACGACTGTGACATTGTAATAATGGATGTCAGCGTAGCGACTCACAAGTGTTGTGTGTTCCTAATCGTTTTAGGTACCTACATTTGGTAAGTAAAGTATTCCAACTTAGATTATAAAACCATTTACTTGCTTAATATATGAAACAATAAGTGTGTAGAAGTAGTCACTTTCAGTTTATTTATTTATTTATTTATTTATTTATATTTAAGAACACTTAAACTATCATTACAGTTCACATAAAACATGACACAGAAACGTGTATGTGTGTGATTGTTAATATCTGAACATCAATCTCTGGGGATGATGTGCAGGATCTCAAGAGAAGAAGATATCGAGAGCAAATGCATGAAATATTAAACTCGGTACTCATATAGTACCCTGAAAGTTGACGGTTGCTGTTGTAAATGGTGGAAGAGTGTAGTAGTGGAGTGATAAACTTTGAGAGCCGCTGTCAATATAACGGCAATGATTGCAAAGTCAAGGTGATTACGCGCAGCAACGCGAGTAACCCGAGCTTCTCAGCATACCAGTCATTTCACCATAATCGCGTGTTATTTACTATAATAATACTTGGAACAATATCGCGCTGCGCTTTTGTGCGCACGCGCATTGTCGCGGCCGGAAGTGACGTGGCGGGTGCGCGCGCAACCGTCCCGCGCCATATTGTTCTCGCCACAATACTAACTCGAGATATTAATTAAAACGGTCGCTGCTTTGTAATCACATATTGTTCTCTGCTAATGCTGATTGCGGTTAAGATTTTTGTGCAATTTAATTATTTGGAACTTGTAGCTGGTCTGTTGCCTGATGCAAGGGACCTTGGGATTGATGTCTAAGTTGGGTCTAGTTCAATCTTCGAAACCAATGATAGTATCGAATCTCACACTGAGTGCGGTCTAGGCTAGGTACGTAACATTATTATTTTGTTGGAAAAACATTAAAAGAAATAGTTGTTTCTATACTCTAAATGCAATCTCAACAGCACAGATTTAGTAGTAATAAATTCTGCGTATTAGGTAGCAGTGGCTCAAAGTTTGCAACTTAGTTTGAAACAAAGTTTCAAAGTTTAACTGCCTAGTTGGCCGAGTGGTCGCTAGTGTGACAACAGGACAAGGGTCTCGGGTTCGATTACTGCGTTTCTAAAAAAATCTCGGTATTTAGCAATAGGCTCACCCCCTATTACATGGGACTCATAACATAAATAGTGAAAAGTGGGTGTTACATTTTACAGTGGCATAATGTGCACTTCTGCCTTCCCCTTCAGGAATAAAGGGCGTGATGTTATGTGGCTCAAAGTTATAACTGGTCGAGGGTCTCATCATAAACATTCCGTGATAGTCCACTGACTAAGTAGACTGTGAGGTTCCTCAGTCCTCTACGTAAAAGCCATGTAGGTATAAATCTCTACTAGTTACGTACTTTTGTAAAATATGATTTGGTAGTCTGTATGTGTTGATAACAAATTGTACAATACTGTTTCTCTTAAAAAACTTACCAAATAAATGTGAGATGCCTTTGACAATGAAAAAACAATCAAACTTTCTGATATAATGGGTATGCTGTAGCTAAGGGTATGTACCAACAAGTTACCACAGAACATGTCAGCATGGAGTGCAACCTGTGAACGACAGCTAATATCCAAAAGTGCGACATCTCCAGCTCGGCGCGTGACAGCGGATAACGAGGCTTGTTAGCGAGCTGCGCGGTGGGGGGGCGTGACGTCACTACACCACGACACTCCATGCTTTATATTACTTGACTTACTTGCTTTATATTAGCTACGTGACAAATGACTATCACAGTAAATCTATATCTATACTTCTATACTAATATTATAAAGAGGAAAGATTTGTACCTATTTTTGTATGTTTGTAATGAATAGGCTCAAAAAGTACTGGGCCGATTAAAAAAATTCTTTCACCAATAGAATGCTACATTCTTCAAATTTGACATAGGCTATATTTCATTTTGAAAAAAATGAGAGATCCTTGGTAAAATTTGAACATTGTAGCCGATGGCGTAGAAAAATGAGTCTTAAAATGTCTTTCGTCGAATGCGCTGCCGAAACTATTAGCGATAGAACAAAATAATGTACAACAATATTGAAGAACATCATAATGTCTAAAAAAAACTCCACGGTAGCATATGTCCAACTATTGTAGTTATGTCACTACAACAATCCAAATTTCCAAAAATAAATAACTGTCTACCCCGTGCGAAGCCGGGACGGCTGCTAGTACCTAATATTTCTACAGGTTGTAACTAGTTGCTGAAGAGGTAAGATGTCATCAGTATCGATCCATTCGTTTAAGAGTTATTGTAAATCGGCGGCACGTTGGTGCGTTGGCTGGGCAACCGGCTGCCGCGCAACGTGTCGCGGGTTCGATTCCCGTACGCAGCAGCTCTTAGTGTGATCCACAAATTGTAGTTTCCTAACACCTATGTGTCATGTCTATGTGAACTTTTATGTTTGTAAACGCACTCAGGACACAGGAGAAAATCCTAGTGTGGAGCAACTTTTTTTTTGAGATAAAAAAATCAATTTCCTACTACTAAGTAAACATTTCCTACTCATTTTCAATAACAGCATGGGGATTACTATTATAACTACCTACTATACTAAAGGCGGATGATATTTTGTTATCAATGTGTGTCACACGCCTTTTGCCACAGTTATTTCATGTTTAGTTAGAATGTACCTACCAAATCTTGGAAAATCTAACTAAATTTTGGAATCTACCAAAAAACAGTATGGAAGCCCATTACCTAGTAAGTGCATTACTTGATGGGATTGTCCAACTACGTAACATACCTCAATACAAACAACATACACGAAGCCATTCACCCCCAAAACAGATAAAAACACATTTAAAATATCAAACAGCACCACATCCCCTCAGTGAGTGAGTTGTCTAAACAATATCGCAGAGATCAGGCGACGAGACTGATGCGAGGTGACGTAGCGAGCACGGGGCCCCGGGCCCCTCGCTCCCGGCTCCAAGCTTATGAGGAGCATATTGCGCGGATTTTTTATTGCGCCACGCGGGGGCCCACAATGAAAACGTATCTTGACGATGCCGCGGGCAGGACATAGATTAGAAGGCAGAATGGAAAACAAAATCCTATTTCAAAACAGTCACCGGTGACCGCTCTCCACTCACTGCACTATAGACGTTTTTTCCGAAGGTTCGAGACTACTTTTGTATTTTCGATTGCGGATTTTCGATACTATATATCAAGAGATTAATACAACAGAAATATAGCTCTCAATACCAAATAGAAAACAGTACGCCGAATGTTAAATGATAATTGTATATTCTAAACAAATAAGTAAATAGTTTCTCGATAACTAGCCAGACATGCAGCTCGTATAGAGAACCTTTCTTAATGACCGAATAAACGAAAAATGATACACAACAACTTTATTTAATAACCGCATTTCTTTCCTCACAGAGAATATTGTCCACAATACACTAGTCACCGCCCTCTCTGTACGATCGCGCCCTACATACTCTATGTCCATGATTACGATTGTTCCCGAGCTCTCGAGTTGTTTATGATTCGTTCAGTGGAGTGCAGTTACCGTAAGGTTTATTGGTACGTCGGTTCATTAACTAATGTTTATTAACTTTACTGTTACTCCAAGGGTCAATCGCTACACAAACTAGTTACAAACGGGCACTATTAAATTGTAGAGGGAAGGTTACTAATATCGTAGACAATTGAGCAAGGGATTACAATCTCTTGTAAAGGGAGAAGGGAAATACGTTGTAATAAGTACTTATCTATTAATATTAATAGATATTTAATCATTTGATAGCTGTAGTGTAATTTTTTATAAGACCTAATATGGCTCTGGTAATTAGTAAGTTAACAACAATTTTTGTAGCGTACTTGTTTTAGCTCGGAATTAGACTTCCGAGCTAAAACTTCTTGAAAAATCAGCG